GGAAGCGGCGCGCAGGGCCCGCCGCAGGTCCCCGCCGTGAAGGGAAGGGCGCCCGAGGTGCGGCGGCGCGGGCTCCCGGGCTCAGGTGGGGCGTCCCGTCCCGTCCCGTCCCGTCCCGTCCCGTGTCGTCCCGTCCCGCCGAGGGTTTGGCCCTGGCGGCCTCTTGGGCGGAGCGAAGGGCGAGTCTGCCTCGACAGGTCGGACGGGCCGCGCGCGCCCAGATCCTCTGCACCCCGTCGGGTCTCGGGGTCCGCGCTCCACGGCCAGGAGTCAGCCGGGCCAGGTGTCACAGCGAGGGGGCCGTCCGTGGGACCCCCCCCAGGCTTCTCGGTGGGATCTCGGGGGTCACCGTCCTGAGGGTCCCGCGTGCCGGACGGGACCTGCAGAGCTGGGTCGCACTGGGCCCGCCCGGGCGCTGGGCGTGGGGTAGGAGGGGCAGAGATGGGGGCCCGAGGGATGCTGCGGGGGAGGGGTGCGAGGCAGAGATCGGGGCCCGAGGGATGCCGCGGGGAACACAGCAGCGCGGCCCCTGCGCCCTGAGCCGCCCTGTCCGAGGCTGCGGGGGGTGCATAGCGCCCCAGACCCGGTTAGTCCGGCCACAGCCTGGTCCTTCGCGGAGTTGGGAGAGGAAGAAGGCGCGGGCGCTTTCGGGGACGAACATCCGCCCCGGGGCCCTCCGCCCCCGCAGGATCGCAGCGAGGGAGCGAGGTGCTGCGGAAGAGGCGAGCGGCGCGGCTGCCGCGGACGCACGGCTCTGGAGGGAAGGTAGGGAGCCGGCCGGGACTGGGTGCGGGGCGCGGCGGCGGGTCGGTGGTTGGCCTGGGTGAGCGCGAGGCCTTGAGGCGCTGTCCCCGCTCCGACCCCTAGGGGCGCACGGCGTGGGTCTGCCCAGAGCTAATTCAGACAGGGGAGTTCTGCAAGGACAAAGTTTGCGAAGAAGCAAGGCAAGGAGAAGGTCCCGAGACCACAAGGTCGCAGGGCTTACAGACACTGAACCCTCACCCTCCGCTAACTGCAGTCTAGGTCGGTGGGCCGCGGGACTCCCCACCCGGAGCTCCCTACCACATCCGGTCCCAACATACTTTTCAAATCTTGTTTTCTTTCTCCACTTAGCTGTTCCTGAGGTGCGGTACAAACGCAGGGCGCTCTGCCACCGAGCTACATCCCCGGCCTTTCTTAGCTATTGAATATTTTCACTTAGACACGCAGTCCCGCTAAATTGCCCAGGCGGGAGGTTCTCAAATTTTCCATCCAACGGACTGCAGATGTGCACCACTGTGCCCGGCCAGAGCTGTAAACTTTTACTGTTTTTATTTTTTGAGACAGGGTCTCACTATGTAGATCAGGCTGTCCTTGAACTCACTATGAGGTGTTTTTGTTGTTGTTGTTGTTGTTTTGTTTTTTGTCTTTTTGAGACAGGGTCTCACTATGCAGTTCAGGCTGGCCTTGAGCTCACTTTGTAGCCCAGGCTGGTCTTGAACTCGCAACCATCCTCCTGCCTCAGCCTCCCGAGTGCTGGGATTACAGGCGTGGGCCACTATGCTCAGCAAGAGCTGTACAACTTTTGATGGGGTCTGCCCCAACCAGAGAAATGAACCATCTCATTCCAATAGCTCACACCACCCCTTAGAGCCCCCAGAAGACTGTAGGCCTGTCACCCACGCCCCTTTCTAGGGACTCAGCAGTCCTGTGTGCCTCCCAGAAGGGGAGGAGGTAGGCAGGAAGTCCTCAGGAAGAAGGTCCCATGGGCTGCAAGAGAGGCCACCAGCCACTGATTGCACATGGCTCTCTTCTCAGTGAGAAAGTACCGTGGCAGGGGCTCCCCTGCAGCAACACGGGCAGCTGTTCTGCTGAGCACAACGGTCTGCGTCTCTGTTGTATCATCTTACTGATGCCTGCATCACCTATGTGTCTGAACTGTGCCTACACCAGTCGTATGGGGTGCTGGGGCACAAGTAAGTGGGGTTAGCACCAGATTTTTTCTTTTTTGTCTTTTTGAGACAGGGTCTCACTATGCAGTTCAGGCTGGCCTTGAGCTCACTTTGTAGCCCAGGCCACACTCAAACTCAAAGCAATCCTCCTGCCTCAGCCTCCTGAGTGCTAGGATTACAGGCGTGCACCACCATGCCCGGCTAACACCAGATTTTTGTCAGATTACAACCTGTTCTGATGTCAGCCTTACTTGTTAAGCCAGGGAGGAAACTGGCCCCAGGGAAACATGAGCTTTGTAGGAAAAGCAAGAGGTCCAGGGGTGACGGCGTTTCACTATGTGCCGCTCTTCAGGCGGGGCCCTGTAGCTTAATAACGAACACCAAATCAGGAGTAAGGTCATGAAAAATTGCCTTCAAATGAGGCAACATAGGTTAAGGAAGTTCTAAACCATGAAAGTGAACCAGAGAGATTAAGGCAGAGTTTACTCACCAATTGCTTTTTTTGCTGTAGTCATCATCTTTAATAAATATTTTAGAGAACTGGAAATATGTTAACAATGTCCTTTTGTATTTAAGATACAGAAAATGTTTTGTTAGGATTTCTTTGAAGCATATTAATAGAGAGAAGCCAGTCTTATAAAAAATTTTATAACCTTTAATTAAGATAAATAGCCGGGCATGGTGACACACGCCTGTAATTCCAACAGTCTGGAGGCTGAGGCAGGAGGATTGTTGCAAGTTCGAGACCAGCCTGTGCTACAAAGTGAGCTCAAGGCCAGCATGAACTATATAGAGAAACCCTGTCTCATGGCTGGGGATTTAGCTCAGTGGCACAGTGCCTGCCTGGCAAGTGCAAGGTCATGAGTTCGATTCCCGGTACAAGGAAAAACAAAAAAAAAAAAAAACCAAGAGAGACCCTGTCTCAAAAATACAAAAAGAAAAAAGAAAAGAAAATAAATGCAGAAATAATACTTTATGTGATCCTGACCAAAAAAAGCCACATTGGATTATTAATTATTTGCTTACATTGCAAATATTTGTTTTTGAAATTCCAACATGTGATAAGTTACTGTTAACAACCTTGCTTCATCTGCCTATCTCTTTAACTAAGATATTCTACATTTTTATAGCCCTTCCTCCCATAACCTCTCATTTAAAAATATAGTGGCTTGAGTGTCATAAATAAAAAACTCTTAGGCCAATAAACATCTGCTTTAAAATAAATGTCACTATCACATATTTTACAAAACAATCCACAAATTCTTAGTTACTTGTCTTCAGCTAGGGTGGAAATGTGTTTCATATTCACTTAAATGTGAACATTTTAGCTTGTGTCTTTGCTAGTTTTGCTATATTGGAACTTTGCAACTGTGTCTTTGCAACTATTGGAAGTGGCTTTCTAAAAGATTTTTTTGAAATCACTGAAAGTTGAGACAAGTAGTCGAATCCCAAGGATTGTAGCCTTCTTGTAGATATTCAGTTAATGTTGAGGGAGATCATCTTAAATATGAAAAGGACATGTTTTTAACATGTTGATTATTGTATAAGGCAGAGCTCCCTCTTGTGGGGGAAGCTGGAAGCAGCCACCTGCTGAAAGCACTCATTCATATTCATTTGATCCGGCATCTGATTAGATAGGGGACTAGCCAGGACTGCAAAAAAAACGGAAAGATTAAGTGTTTGCCTTCAAGGATATTAGAGTCTAATTATGAGACTGTTCACCAATTAGGGTACAGTGTAATTGCTGTGATCGTGTAGATATGTTCAAAACGCAATTAGGACATTAGAGTAGGGACCTCTGCCTTGGACCAGAGGCGTCAGAGGAAGAGTCACACACGAGGTAAAACAAGCTGAGACCTGAAGTGAGAAAAGGTGTTTGCCAACGGACGAGGGCATTCCAGGCAGAGGAGGTAACGTACACAGAGGCTCGGAGAAGGCCTGACGGAGCGTGTCGGAGTCAGGGAGCGGCCAGCGCGGCTCCTCGTTAGGCCCGAAGTGGAGGTGGAGAAGGACGGATAGGAAAGGGGTCCCAGATCACAAAGCACTTCATAGCTGGCCCTAAAAAAATTAGCTCTTCCCCAGGGCAGACAAGTGAAATGGTTATGTTTATTTTTTATTTTTTTGTCTTTTTTGAGACAGGGTCTCACTGTACAATTCAGGCTGGCCTTGAGCTCACTTTGTAACCCAGAAGGTCTTCAGCTTACAATGATCCTCCTGCCTCAGCCTCCCCGAGTGCTGGGATTGCAGGCGTGCGCCACCATGCCCAGCTGAAATGGTTGTGTTTAGTTATTAAAAAAAAAAAAAAATTATTCTGGCACCAGGCAAGAGAGGATGAGGCTGAACCAGACAGAGCAGAGGCCATTGGGAAAGAAATGTGTGATAATTTCAAGAAATATTTCAGGGATGAGATAGTCCTGTTCTGGCTCACTTGATTGATAAACAGTGGTGCTGCCAAAGATAACAAGACCAAAAACAATGGGAGGGGGACAGTGAACTCCACTCGGGACCTGTGCTGTTATCCTTGTCGTGTCATTGTGCAGTGCTGGGTGGGGCCTGTTACACTGGAGGCATCAAAGGAAGATCCATGTGAAAATCCCCAGGGGTGGTTGGTCCGTTAGATTGCGGAGTCCAGGGGGACTTTTGAGAACCACCAGCCGCTGGAGTGGATGCGGTTGCCCAGGGAGTCTTGAATAGTGGTGGGAAGAGAGCCAAGGTGGGATCTGGGGGGCATGAGCATTGCATAGGGGAGAAGAACTGGCAGAGGAGCCGGGAAAGACATGGCCAAAGGCCGGGGGTCCAGGAGAACAGAGGGTCCTGGAGATCCAGGGGCTAAAGGGATGACCAGCTGAAAGAGGGTGTGCTCTGCAGGCCCACAGACCGCAGGAAGTTCAAGAGGTGAAAGTCGGGGAGTTCCCTTTGGATTTTCACTTAGTGATATCATGGGAAAGGCAGGGATGAGGATGGGTTAGATCACCGGGGGTCCAGGAGACAGAGCAGAGGAAACACCAACACAGACTGTTCTTCCAAAAAGCCTAGCTGTGAATGGGGTGGGATATAGTGGAGGGGACCTGGAAGATCCAAAGGGGTCTCCTTTGTACTTTGTTTACTTTTTTAATTTAATTTTTATGTTTTTGGTCCCGGGAATCGAACTTGGGACCTTGTACTTAGCAAGCAAGGC